CATCAAGTATGCCAGCTAGCACAAATGCTAAATTACCTTAAGTTTTCAGCTGATCTAGCTAATTTTTAGTGAGTTACAGATCACTTTGCTGGATTAGCTATTATGCTAGTTAGCACAGCTGCTATACAAACTACAGACTAACCAATCGTTTCAAGTTGCTTCTTTCCTTTGAACACTGCATTTCAGGGCTTCAGTTCTGTTGTTCAGACTGAGGATTTTTCTATGACAAGGCTTGTTACTTGAAGCCGTGTTGAACCTGACAGATTTTTAGTAGGGGTTTACTTTCATACAATGCAATACCTGGCACTCGAGGGACTTGAGACACAACAAACAGACACTTGAATCGATGGCTGGTAGCCGCTCGGTCTCTTCTGAGGGTTACTCATTTGCCACCTTTTGTGAATTCAGTAATGCAGACTATGCATCTGGCTGCATCCGATCAGAGTAAAGTGGGAGGGGATGGGGAAGTGGGTTTATGCACACAACCACACTCAAAGGATTTTTAGAGCTTTTTTTTTCTGGAGTCACTTATAAATTCTAGGGGCTGCAATTTTAGTGTTTATTTCGTTACTTTCGAACTCCGTAAAATCAAGACACTTTTAACACTTAAAATATAAAAAATCTAACAAATCCTAAAACAAAAAATCTGTGGCATTAAACCTCTTCTGAAAATCTTTGATTATTGAGACACTCTATGTGAACGTGAATATCTGTCAGACTCCAGCCACTGAACTCTGAGAACACTCATAGAAAATTTATGTGATTCCTTTTAACACCCATTTGTAGTAGTCTATGTAAAAGCACTTTGCCATGCAAAGACCAAAATCACAAGAATTAATGCCTATTAATAATCACAGAGCACTTTAAACACCCTGTACAAGCACAAAATAAAAAAAAAATGGCAAAAAGATGGGGCAGCAGCAATATTTGGAAAAACAAAACCTAAGTTGTTTTTCTTCTCTGAGAAAGTTAGTAAATAAATAAATAAATCGCTTTAAACTGAGAGCAGATTTGAAAAGAATCTTCAACCACAGCATTCCAAAAGGACAGAGCCTAGCATTAACAAGCTGTGACTAGACGGAATTTTTATCACTGGCTGGAATTCACATCATAGGTAAGAAAGGGTTCAAGAGGGGCAAAGCTCAGCACAACAGCTGTGCTGCTGAGTGGTACTGTGGACCCTGACAGCGCTTTCTGCGTTTGTGCATGTGCACACATACATACGCATGCAGAATGACACGGGAAGAAAATATCAGGTTAAAAACTGAAGCATGATCAGTTGATACCAAAACAGTTTTGCATAGCCAACAGGATTAAATAATTGAGCAACCTGTCTTTAGGAAATGCATCATGAAACCACAAATTTCTCCACAATTCAATTTGATTTGATTATTTTGGCATGGCTCAAAAGTTTTTTTTTTAAAAATGCAATGAATAGGCAAATATGACTGGAGGAATACACCAAGCTTTTCACTTCATTCCCAGCCAAAGAACAATTCACATATTTCAATAGAAAGGTATACTGTCAGACCAGGGGTGGTAATATGACAGTATTTATCGCTACCACATTTCCAGCGCTCCAGACTAATTTTTTCTGAACAGCCCAAAACTGTCCCGAAACATATTAACATACACAAAATTACATAAAAACCACAAAGTATAAATAAAAACAAAACAGCTGGATGAAAGGGACACCACTTTTTTATGAGCATCATTGACAATGTTCATTATCTATCAATTATGAGGCTAAAATAGAAATCATCAGGCTAAAACCCATGTGTCAAACACAATAGGCAGTTTAAAATAAAACTACCTAAAACAATTTATTTTTTATTTAGAATTATTTTTGTATAAGTATTCAAAGCCTATTTTGTTGTTGCAGTTTTGGCATATTTTAAATAAACAGTGGCCTGTTCTGATTTTTAATATGGCCCTTTTACTGTTCGAGTTTGACCAGAGCTGGTTTATGAGGAGCCTGGCCACTTCCTATTTCCCCCCATTATATCAAAAACAGGACTGCTAAACAGCAGAGGGCACTTGCAATGGAGTCTTCACTGAATGGGAGTAAATGGCGCTCAACATACACACTGTAACACCTCCATATAGCTCATCATTTGATTAGCAGACCATGTCAGCTCAGTCTGAAAACATATGAACTGCATGTTTAACTTTTCTCATTGGATAACAAAAAATAACACAATCCTAACATACAAATACTGAAACACACATATCATACTAGAAAAACAATCAGCTGTAAACTCAAATGCTCTCTTTAGTTCAAAAAAGAAAGCTAAAAGCAAGTGCTGTCTTACTTTAAGCCTTGTATTCAGCATGTAATTTTATTTCTGTTTTAAATACATAGCTATGCATTTGGCTATAATGAGTAAGAGACAGGACAGTGGAGAGAAAGAAAGTGAGACAGTGAGAGAGAGAGAGACAGAGAGAGAAAGACACAGAGAGAGAGACTTGAGAGGAATGCATAGGAGGTCACATTCCTGACTCCACTGCTGTGGCTTGCCCCATGTTCAACTATGCCTTCAAAACAGGCAGAATTACTCAAGAGCCTGCACTTCTGCTCAGACAAAAGTGGATCTTTTTCAATGGGTATATGAGTGCCAGAGGGTCTTAGGATAAGATGGTCACTGAGACTAAACTCATTAGCCTTCCAAACTTTGTCATCACTCACTAGGTTTAATGTGTACTATTTTCTCAAACCGCAGATATCAGGTTTTAGAGAAAACACCAGTGAACCCCTTGGTAAGTTCAATGTGTTTTGAAAATCGCATTTCGATACCAAAAGATATAATCTTGTGGCTCACAAAAGGTCTTAAAACAACCAAAAACTTTATTCTTTCAGTGACTGTCTAGCGCACTAGGACAATGTGAATATTTCTGCGAGTAAGTGCCCTGTAATTTAACAACACTTGAGAAAAGGTGCGGGCTAACCTCTTTAGGGGAAGAGATTATGGTCAATCAGTGGGACCTGGCTTGAACCTGACATGCATGGTCCCAATCCAGCAAAAAGAAAACTTAGCAAAACCATGATGGCATGAGAGTGCAGAGCAGAAAAGTGAGCTGAGCAGACTCAGCAGAGCTTGCAGTAAGTAACCCCAGGAGTTGAACGGGCCTAGGTTTATGGGGTCATGCTTGTGAGGCTATGAAGTGCATGCAGGGAGCTTTGGGAGCCTCAGGGCACCAAGGTTTGAGCACCTGCTTTTGTCAGTCCTTGTGCACAAGTGTCACAACTTACAACAACTGCTTTCCAGGTGGTCAGGACCTGACCAGACCAGAAAAAAAAAAAATACAGCACATGTACTGAAGTTGTTGTGGTGTGAAATATTCAACACCATGACGTTTGGATGTCTTACTATCATGATATTTGATACCATAAATGTGTTAAGTACTGTGGTAGGCTAGCACACATTAAAAACCTCAGGAAAAAAAAAAAAAACAGGCCAATTACATTCTTCATACCTAGTGCGCATCACTGGCCACTTTATTAGGCACACTTACCTCATATCTACACTCACTGTCCATTTTATCAGCCTCACTTACCATATAGGTGCATTTTGCACTCTATTTCTCTTCAGTGTCAGCCCCTCCTTTTAAATGTACCATTATCAATAGTCAGATCCCCCACAGGAGCAACACAGGGCAGGTAATACTTGGGCGGTGAATCATTCTCAGCACTGCAGACACATTGACATGGTAGTGGCCATTTAACCAACTCTTTAAACAACAACTGAGAATAGTCCACCAACCAAAAATATCCAGCAAATAGCATCCTGTAGCCAAAAACTGACCGCTGATGACATATTAGAGCTTAGCTTACCCAAGCATGCTGGGTGGACCAACAGGTTTGTCAAAAAATGTGGACAGTAAGAGCATGTCAACATTTGGCAGATCTGTTCTGATTAAAACAAACCCTGGTGCAATTGCTGAGTTAGCATAGTTTGTTAAAATATGTAAGTGCGCTTCCAAACAAACGCTGGCACGGTTCATTGCAAACATGAATGCAAAATGAACCAAAGATATCTAAATGGACCAAACAGAATATACTGTCATCTCCTCTCTATATATTGTTGTTTAAATGTGCAATGGATGAATTTCTGGCACTGATTTGACATGTGGGTACATTTATCATCGTTTCAAGGGCTCTGAATCGGTAACTATAAACAGTTTCAGTTTTGAAATGTAGTTTAGGCATGTTCAAAGCATTGTAAAATATCATATACAGGCTACATACATCACCACACACATCAAGTGCGTAACATATTAATGCACCAAGTGTTTGACATTTAATGAAAGCTGTACTCAAGGCAAAGTGATTTCACAATGATTTCACCCTGCTTCATGCCCTGGGAAAACCATGGCAACGAGTTTTTGCCCATTTGGTCCACATCTTTCAGTTTGATTTCAAAGTCGAAGTCAGTGTGAACATGAACTAAGTGAACCAGAAATAAAATGCAACAATGTATCATTTTCTGCTTTGGTCAAGACCAAGGGAACCAAACTACAAATTTAAACACACCCTAAGTAAACACTGGATTTAAAAACACCAGCAATAAATACATTCACTAACATGCCACTACCATGTCAGTGTCAAGGCAATGCTGAGAATGACCCAGCACCTAATAAAAACCTGGTCCCGTAGGTTTCCTGACTGTTGATGAAAACAAATCATGCTGAGAAAAAGATGGGACTACAATCTGTAACTGCACAAGTATGACATGTATCTATACAAAAAGTGTAAATATAATGTGCCTAATAAAGTGGTCAGCAAGTGTATAATATCAACAGAATAGAATAATGAAGTGCAATCTCACGATCTTGTTTTATACTAGAAGCAAAGCAGTATAGCTGCAAAGCAGAACATTTTTCCAAAGCTTTTGTTTTTAAACCAGTTTTTAAATGTGCAATGGACGAATTTCTGGCACTGTTTTGACATGTGGGTGCATTTATCATCGTTTCAAGGGCTATGTATCAGTAACTATAAACAGTTTCAGTTTTGAAATGTAGTTTAGGCATGTTCAAAGCATTGTAAAATATCATATACAGGCTACACACATCACCACACACATCAATTGCGTAACATATTAATGCACCAAGTGTTTGACATTTAATGAAAGCTGTACTCGAGGCAAAGTGATTTCACAGCGATTTCACCCTGCTTCATGCCCTGGGAAAACCATGGCAATGAGTTTTTGCCCATTTTGTCCATAAAAAATTGCGGGAATGTATTTTATACATGCCTCTTTTTTACTGTTTGCGGCCAGTCTGCACTATAAGAGCAAACACTGCTCATCACATAGCCAGTATAAAAGGTCAAATGGATTAAAATCAAAATGATTTAGATGATTTTTGTGATGTTTCTGAATACATGGTATCAGGGAGGGTCTGAGCCAGCTGAGCATTTTCAATGGATGATATCTGGGAGTGAAAGGTAGAATTTCGTCTTTTAAATGAAACGATGAAAACGGGTGGAAGGATACACTCAACACGAGGGTAGATTTTATTCTATTCTCAATACTGGTTTCACAATTCATATTCTCATAATATTCTGAATAAAATTTGGATCATGAGAAATGATCACTATAACCATGATGTTGCACAGCTTACTAATAAATGCCAGTATGGGCCGTTGATTTGTTGTTTATGAAAACTAGTGGTCAAACAATGCTTCTGCATTCAATGGCATAATTAACAGAATATTCGCCTTGATGGATTGCCACATCGTTGTTACAATTTCTTGACGAATGGACCAATAAAAGTATATCACTTGGAATAAAACACTTTTCCATTAACTTGCATTTTTGCCTTCTCCTGTCCAATTACTATTTTGGAAATGCCCGTTTTTCTTTAAAGAATAGTAAAGTAGCAAGGTAAAAAGTCTGTGTTGTTTCTGGTTGACTTTACCACAGAAGCAGATTACAAGTAGAGTAGAAGGTGTGTAGTTCAGAAGCGGTGTGGTTGTTTCTTCTGGTTCAGCTAACATTGCCGGGTTATGATAGTGATGTGTCCAACACAGTGATCAGCATGTAACCACTGCTGTGTTGTGGTGATCTTTGCAGACCTGAAACATCATCTCACTCTCCTTACAAAACAGAGAAGTAAAAAGCATAAAGCAGTGTCAATAGATTACATTTTGAGGAGAACATTTGAATTACACAATTTACTCACTCTACAGTTAGTTTAATTTAGGGTAAACAAAAAGTGGTGCCAAAATCAAAAAGACAGCAAGTGATACCTAGTGCAGCTGCCACTTACTGGACTTCCCCACTCTCACTTTTCTGTGAGGCAGACAGATATGTACAAGACTGAACTGCATTTCTAAAAGACAAAAGGAATCCATGACGATACACCCTAGTCCGGTCCATATCCAGTGTCAACAGCAGTAGCTGTAAAACGGCGGTTTGAGTAGCGGCGACATGTCCAGGACACTGCAAGCCACCGTAACCCAACAGCTGGCCGAGACGAGTTGCAAATCTTACCAGGAGACGCCTGCCTCTCAACCCCCCTAGTCGAAAATAAACCCATGTCTCCAAGACCCATAGGAATCATGGGGGAGCTTTGGTGTCTAGACTGTACAGATTCCACAAGTTCCAGCCAAAAAAGGGGGGGAAAAAAAGTGAGAAACGCCAGGGTCCACTCCACCACAGTCCATACATGTTTAGCACAGCTGTTGGCTTAGAGGGGAATCTGGGCACAGAGCTAACACAAAGCTAAGAGTGGCGATACAATAGCACAGCACTCCAAAATCTGATAAAGAAATAACAATCCGCTTAGGTAAATACCTTGCAGGGATGAATGAATGAAAATCCAAATTCCGTCATCTTCAGAAAATGATTACTTACTCACTTATATGAGACAGCTTTATCAACTTTCAGTTACTGCTTTCTTTTTCAATTCCAAAACCATCATCCTGATGTGTCTTCTTACTTTACAGTGATTAACTACTCCCATAACCCGTACTGTACTACTGCGCTACTAGGCTGACATGAACTACCATAACGACTAGATCCATCAAACAGAGCTTGGTTTAGAACTGTATCTCTTTTAGCATGAACTTTCATATGAAATACAACATGCATGATCATACTCAAGTCAACTGAGCAGGCTTGTCCACCACTAACAAAAAAGTTTTTACATGTATAAAAATGCCTGAAAACGTGAAGACAAGACATGTGGGCTGCAACTAACAATTGTTTATATGATCAGTTCATCTAACAAGTGTCATCTGATATAATTGAACAATCAAACCACTACGCCTTTCTTCTCACTTTGGCCGACACAGCGCCACCATCATTTAAATTTCTGTCTGTACGACAATCAATTTCTTTTTTTACGGCATAATGAATCAACAGAAGCCACCGTGCCCTGTGATCAGTTGGAATGACTGTGTGTATCATATGAACATCATAAAGTGCTTTTTTATTTCAGTAAAAGGCACACCAATATTTCTCCATAATCAGCACTGCTGACAACTAATAGCCTTGGTCAACACATTATTGCAACCCTACACTCTTAAAAACAAAGGGGCTTAAAAGTGTTTTTTTTTATGTCATTCCATAGAAGAACCACTCTTAGTTTCTTAAAGAACATTTCAAAGGATGGTTCCTTAGAGAACAATTTTTATAAATGTGATTGTGAGTGTGAAGAACATTTTTAAAGTTTAAAGAAGCTCAAAGTAATGTAAACATTTAGGAAGATATCTTCAATTGGTATAGAACAGTGTGGCCCACGGGAAATAGGACGGTTACCCTAACAGCACCTACTCACTCGATGAGAGAACATTTTTATACTATACATAACTTACTAAATTCTTATCTTTTTGAGGTTTTAGTAACAAAATATAGTGTAATGTTATAGAAAGATTTTTAAAAACACAATATGAAGCCTACCTATGTTCTTTTTTTGTATGTTGTTCTGTCGTTTTGGCTCTTGGCCCACCACAAACAGCGCACTTTGGCCCCCTAAGACAAAAGGTTTGCTCACCCCATGCTTCTGGAACCTTTACATTATATGAAGTTTCTTATACAGTTCTTCTATGGCATTACTCAAATAACTCTCAGTAGCACCTTTTTTAAAAAGTGAACCTTGCATACAAAAATATGGAAAATATTTTTCTAGCTATCCATCACTGCCTTGCACTTTAGGTTTGACACTCTTAAAAAAAAAAGTGTAAAAAAGGGTTCTGCAGAGTGATGCTAAATATAAACAAGAAAACACATCTACTGAAAAGGTCTTTAGGGAACCAAAAGTGGTTGCTCTATGGCACTGCTCCAGAGCACCTTTATTCGTACGAGTGTATAACATCACAGTACTCCGATGGATAGAGCACACATACATGGATGTGTCAGACAGGTTTTTGCTTGTCCCACTACAGAGCAAGTGGAGTTCTAACCTGCTTGGTGAGAGACAACTCCAACCAGAGTAGGCTCCGTAACAGCACTCGGGATCACATTGCTGACACGGCCCTGTGCTCACTCAGTGACTCATATCCCCTCGCAACTCTTCCGGCTCCATTCAGGAGAACAACGCTAAAAGACAACGAAAATAATCCCACTGTTGACCCTCTTGTTAATTTACAAAAGCCGCTGCTCTCTCTCTGCTTACTGGCAGCTGGCAGGAGGTTTTGTTATTTTGCCAACCCACCCCCCCAACCCATCAAACTTCTGTTGCGCAAGAAGACTCGCCAGAATCCAAGAATCTGAGATCTTTCTGCCTGGCGTGACAATGGTCATGTTATGGGAAGGAACTGCTGAGGACAGTCAGGCTTGGTATGCCTCTCAAACAAAAGGGGAGTCAGCACCGATCCTGTTATCACCAGCCCACACATCCAGGTCATGGATCGATGTGGACAGGCATCCTAGAGCAGGACGTAAAAGTCATCCAGGCTTTCCAAAAACAAAGGTTGAGGCAGTGCTTTGGATAATCAGTTAACAAAGTTAAACTCAAGCTATTTATTTCAAAAAAACTTCATTATGCTTTTTTTTATATAAATCTTGAATTAGACTGTGTGGTATTTTATTAGATTCATAAAGAACTCATGAGGGTTGCGTATTCAGGATATACAATTTTGCACTGATTAAAGTCTTTTGAAAAAAGTTTTTATTTGGTGAGACTAGAATTAGCCTATGCTATATTCTGTAAACAATGTCAGCTTTAGTGCACACCAAATTACTGATAACAGTAAGGGCAAAAAAACACCATGCTTTATGATCACATCACAGCAGAGCAGGATCTCCTCAGATCTAATTGCAAAGCCAACATTTTTACCAGTTAGAGCTAACATCATAACTCAAGACTGACAAAGACAACGTATCCTAAATCCTGAGGGAAAAAAAAAAACTATATGAAAAAGAACTCAGATTAGGCAAGTGCTATAAAACAATGACATTCATAAAACACAACTCTGGTTTTAATTTCTGATTGGCTGAGCTTTCCTCAAAAGCAAAAGCATTCTTTTTGCACAGACCACATTTTGTGTATATGACCACACCACAATAACTGAACTGTATTAATGCACCAAAGTATTTTAAAAATATTTGCTGTTATTGGAATATTCTTCAACCATTATGCTGATTAGCAACCACAGTAACCAAAACCATATTGCTTGATGAATAACTGTTTATTGCGATTATTATTGATAATAAAACATTATCTAACATTACTCGGGATTTTATAATGTTCTATTGTTCTCGCTGTCATTCGGGCTGTGCATTACAGCATTTTTACTGCGACAACAATGTGTTAAATGCAGAACTAGAGCCCAAACAATAAATCGACATGCTGATATTATAGGCCATTATGAGGTACTTGCAGATAAACTGGTATTGGTGTTTTACCAGCCAATGAATGACAATCACAAAAGAAATGGAGAGACAGAAGAAAGCTCCTCTGAACAATCTGGTGAGATCTCTTAAATAACTACACATAATAAATGTTAGGGAAAATCTTTGTTTATGTTCTGTATTTCTGAAGAAAAAAATAACATTGGCCAATATTTAAGATATAACACATTTTTAAATGCTCAAATTTCGAAATTGGTCTTGAAAATCCTGTACTGGTTGGGCTCTATGCAGAACTACAAGGCTAGGTGCTAGCAAACAAGAACTGAAACTTTCTTACCGTGAACTGCAAACACATTGAAGTGCTGAGCGCCATGCCGTGACGAGTCTCGCTTCCCGCCACCCTTGATGAAGTTCAGAGCAGGCAGACTTGGTCTCCTCTGGTCCCCAACAAACTTCCCTGGCTGCTGCCCCATAAGGGCAGGTTGCCAGGCCGTAGCCGGGAGGCACCGCTGATGTCAGTCACGGCCTTGGAGGGAGGCAGACGGCAGACTGAAACCAACTTGAAGGAAACCAGCTTGGTGCAGACCACCTCAACAAGCGTGCTCTTCGTCAGTGTGGCTGGTGATTGAGTGGCAGGGTGGGAGTCAGGACCTCCAGATCCCGAATTCCACTTCTGACACCAGTGAAATATTTTTTGGTGTCCACCAGTGTGGTAAGGCAGACCCTGTACCCAGATCTTTGATATCTCTTTGTCTGTGTCATGCATTGAGTGATGGACTTATTTGACTGTTATAAACCAACTAACCTCAGACTCTAACCTGAAAGCATGGCTTTTTCAACATTACCATGCACAAGCGCAACACATCCTCAACATCTACATAACACTGTAGTGCACCTAAAGTGAAGAAAAAAAATCTAATCACACCACAACACATTAAAAGTTACAAAGCTAAGGACAAACTACATTCTCTGCATAGTAGTGTTGATGAGCAGGACAGTAACTGGTTGCAGTATTAGCAGTGAATGTCTGCAGATGGACCACTAAAAACAGGCAAACTCAGCACCGCCCCTGAGGTATTGTTAGATCAAATATTGATAATCAATCTGAACACCTTTGCGATACAATTACAACATCTATGTGCACAGTAATGTATGAGGCAGCTATAAGGACTCTGGCAAAATTGGGAAGACCATCATTGTTCTTTGGCCAACACTCTTTGTCTTCTTATTGTTAACAATTCAACATGTGCAGAGATGTAGGTCCTATTAATATGCAAAGTTTTGATTGACAAATGCATGTATGTCTCTGGATTATCTAAGGCACTTAGAATATTCTGGCAATCTGATATTTCACAGCAACCCTGAATAATATTTCACAAACTGAATAGTCAGAACATCTCAAGCCTAACAGCAGTCAGTAGTTGGCTGTGAGAAGTTAGGAGGCACTAGATATTTATCTCAATAGAAGAACTGGTTACCTGGAGACACTGGTTATTAACCTAAAGGGAGGAACTGGAGATTTGTCTCAAGGGAAGAACTGGTCTCTTATCTCCAAATGAATATGGACGCATATCCTCATATTTTTTTTGTTTTTTTGTTCTGATTTGTGCGAGCTATCACTCAACAGACTCACAGGATGAGAATTCTGCATATTATATATTACTCGCCTACGACTGAACGTTACAGTATAAAATTATTTGGGAACGTGTCAGAGAACTGAGCGAGCCTGAGTCTGTGTTACACTCCGCCTCAACTTCAAGCGCTGCTCAACAACAACAGGTTACCTCAGCTGGCAAGTTTTGCAGCAACTCCTGAGCAGCAGTTATAACCATAACGCACGACTGCAGACCGAACCCATGCTCAAAACAATTCAGACACACCGGCAGCTTTTTTACTCGATGCCAAATTCCTTCCCTCAACTTCCGCGTCCGAAGGTTTTTGGTCCGTCTCTCCCCCCGGGCTCCAGATTACACCCGGAGCTCAAGCACTGCAGCTCGGCCACCCAACCTGCCGCTCTCCGGGGCGCTGTTCGGACCGGTTCCCCTCTTAAACCGCCCGCACGAGTAAGGCACACACTCTCGATATAAACGCGCTCAGTGTCCTCCTGTATTTCTGAGTCTTCACACCATTTTTTGAGGGATAAATGCCTATCGAACAGTCGTCGACGCAGGGGCCGCCATGTTTCCGTACGCAAGGTGGGCTGGTTTTTCGTTTTGCGTTTGACGTCAGACGGTGCGTTTCTTCCGCCAACAGAAAAAAAAAGATTTTTTTTTTGACTCGAAAATAACAAAACATCTCAAACTTACTGCTAATTTTATTCAAACTGGAATTGAGCTAAACTACAGTTTTCCAAAATGTATTTGGATTTACTAATTATGAGAAAATGAATATTTTTACTTAATTATTTCACATGCCTTGTTAATGTAGGCTGTTGTAGTGTACAGTGAAGTAGCTGTAGTAAGTAAAGTCGCACCCAGAGAAAACTTTTTCTGGATTTAGGACTATTTTGCCATGATCAGCATTACACATAAAAACAGAGAAAATAGTTTTAGTCGAGATGGTAAAATATCTTTAACTTTGATTTGGAATTTATACAAAAAAACTAGCCTATATTTTTCCACAAAAAATGTATGAGGGGTTCACTAATTATGACAAAGAATTGAAAATCAGTAATCTTATATCATTTGATTATTTTTCACACGTGTCTTCTGAATTATTTTAGGGCGTTGTAAGGCAAAATAGTATCAGAAGTTTTTTCCTCATATTTAGGACTATTTTTTTGGCTCGAAGATCATGGAAAAATATGTATAATTCTGTTTTGGATTTTATTCCGAATGGATTTGAACTACTATTAAAGTGTTGTATTTGGGTTTACTAATTATTATAGAGAACCGAAAGATGAATATTTTTACGTAATCTATTATTTGGTTATGTTATAACAAAGATGTGGAGTGTTATGTAAAAACTATCTACTATCTGCAATAAGAAGGCTGTGAAAACTAGAACTTGCTGGAACTCTAAATTTGTATAAATCTTTTGTATAAAACTGTATTATATGTGCCTAGAGTACCTCACATTTTTCTGCTAACGTTAGGGGGGTCAGAGGACGAATTAAACGTCGTCCTGCATTAAACTGAATTTTAATTCTGACTAACGTAGCTATAGTAAACGGAAAGAATCTTTTAGAGGTAGAAGCCAATGTTAGCTTGCATAAAATACCCACATTCTTTCATATATAATCATACATATAGCTATTTATTTTTCGATATCTATAAAGTTTTGCCGTCTTGTATTTAAAGTTATACTTTTAAGCTGTGGTGTAATCCTATTTGCGGCAGCAAGAGGGCAGCCGTACGAAGACCGATAATTATACTCGAACACAGCCCCCTTGCGGTGACGTACTGAATCATGCGTGTCATTTTTCGTTGTATCCAGCCAGTTTGTGCCAACACAGTACACACTGGACCAATTCATGTGTCAAAGGCACTGCAATTTATTGAACAAGAATCAAAAGCATCAAAAACGCTTCTATATACAAAACCTTTATACTGTATCAAAACTATCATAAAATACTGCTGTAAAAGCAGGAATCCTTTCTTATGACTTTTTCCAAAATTGATGCATAATTCAATTGGTAAGATAAACTAAAGTCATTCAGAGTGGTTTAATGTGAAATGCTCTATTCTAGAGAAACTTTCAGTCAGAATAGTTCACAACGATAATGATAGAAACCAGACATCCAAAGAGTTTCATACCTTAAAGCTAGGTCTCAGAAAGTATTTTAATGTAATGGTTACAAATACATTGCCTGATGTCTGAGATATCGTTTTAAATAGTTTTGAGACACATTTTTACCTTGAAATGCATTTTTTTAAATATATTCAGGGCACAGAAACACACACAGGGCATTGTATGTCAATATAGTCCCAAATAAAACCTTATTTCGTATTTGCCACTATTTTACCATTATCAACATTATATATATAAACTCTGAAGACGTGTGTAGGCATACTGGTCATTCTGGATAGCAAATAAAATGGCTATATTTGCATTGTACGCATAACAGCCCTTTGTTCCTATCACCACCACTGTAAAGAAATCCAAGTGAGTAAGTTTCACCTCATACAAAAGCACTCTAAATAATTTTACATCTCAACGATTGAATTGTGCAGATATCTTGAAAAATTGGTGGAATTCTCCTTTAACTTTAGCCTCAGTATTTTAGTTGAATGATGTGTGAGCTCAAAGACATGACTCCAAATTGGGGGTGCTGTTCCAAGGGTAGCGCTCAAGGCCGAGCACCTCCAAAATCTGCAAATGAAAGTAATATGTGGCCCGAGAAAACACTGTAGGGCTGAGGATCTCCCTGAAACTGATGAATATGAGCTGCGTCTTCTTTCTCAGTCAGGCAAATGCCAAGGAACAGCAAAGAATTCAGAGAACTCATCTAGGTGAGAAGGGTTAGAACACAAAAAAGAACACATTTCTACATGCCAAGACTCACTGTCACTTTTAACTGTTAACAACTTTGCTGTCCCTGAGTGAAAAGACAACTTTTTCCATGTTGTTAGTGTGCAAAGGTCTGGAGGAATGCCACGCCTGCAGTCAGCTGCCCGGTACTTGTATTCAATTCATGTTGTCCACTACTAGCACTCTACCCTTCTTGCTCAAGAAGTCGCTGCCGTGTCTCCATCACAATTTCATCCATGATCTCTGGTTTCAAAATATCCTTGATCTGCAGAAAGCACACAGAAACACACATCTTAACACAGTCACTGTACACCAAGAACACATCGACCCTCAACTTATCAAAGCTGCGTAAAAAAAGTGCATAGATTTGACCACCTTTAATGGGGTACAAACTTCTCTGCGTCTGATTCATTAAACCTTGAGATTTGAGCACAAATGATAAGCTTCAATACTTAACCAAGCGCCAGCCTAGCAACACCTTATTTACATATTATTTCCATGTAGCATGCCCTAATTCAACTATGCGGTTGTGCTCATAGTTACAGTTTGAAGTCAAGTTTATAAAGTTCGCTCCCTTTACTGACCAAACTTTACAGTGTTAAAATTACAACTGGAAAGAAGAAAATGTGAATGATGTAATTGTTTGTGATCATTTCCTAAAACAATGTATTTAAATGCTGTATTACTGCAGAGTATGAGATGCTTCTGCACTAGCTGTGTATTTTTTGGGTGGTGTCATTAGTATAAGACAAAAGCACAGTATACTATGTTGTTAAAGCCAATTTTGGGGAAATATCATAACATTTTAGCTACTACGCATGAGCAAACTAAAGAGACAGGTAACTTGCCGCTGTCTGACTGGTAAAGGTTAGCTGCTAGTTATGTCAGTTAGTCTGAATCATTCGAGATTTATTTAAAACTCAGGTCAGATTTTCGGTTATGTATATATACTTTATGCCACATGCAGGTAATTATACACAATGTTTCTTTTAACAAGTTCTGTTGGGACATTGTAAAGAAAGGGAGCTATTTCCAAAGATGTATAAAAGTTATTGTTGAGTTATGCATTCTTGATAAATGTTTTTTTTTTTTTTGATTCACATTAAAAAAAAATTAAATCTTGTTTTCTGGGTCAGGCAATACCTGATGGGAGAGGGATGATTCATAGCAGTAGAGTACACTGGTATCATACAGCAGCACTTTGTGGGCTGCCAGGGCCAGCAAACAATTCCTCAGCCGAGAAATGACCTCCCGATCTGGCAGAGGAACAGGCTGAGCCACACCAAAGCAAGACAGAAATAAGGTTCAGAAGAGCATATTGTTTATCAGGTTACATTAATACAGTTATACTGACATGAAAAAGTATTTGATCCCTGACTTCCTCTACTTTTGCAAATTTGTCCCACTAAGTGGTTGCTGGAGTCCCAGAGCCTTAGAAATGGCTTTGTAACCCTTTCCAGACTGGCATATTTTATTAGCTTTCTTTCTCTTCTCTTCCAGAATATCTTTTGATCGCAGCATGGTGCGCTACTCGTTGAGACCTTTTAGCCTACTTCATATGATGCTCAAATAAATTTGGGTAATTGGTTGATTGAGAGAGCTAATACATTTTCACACAGTGCCAAATGGTGTTGGATAATATTTTCCCTCAATAAATGAAATGATCATTTAAAAACTGTAAATAATAAACATAAACATTGCCCAGTGCTGCCTGCTAATCAAGTTAGAGCCCCAAGTTAAAAGAACTTTTTTGGTTTCATAAGTCCCATAAAGTCTCAATGAATGCATTACTGTTTTTTTCCATTTACATTTAAAATGAAGTTAAAAAAATATATATATCTGAAACAATTAAGTGTGACATATCAAGATAATACAAATACCATACCAGGGCATTCAGCAACATTTTGGGTAATTGTTGCTACATTGTATTACACTGAATTAGTTTCATATATATTAAGTATATTTAAAATCTAAATTTTATATAATTTTTATATTTAAGTATGTAGGATAAAAGTGTTTGTATCTAAAATAGTCTGCTTTTGTTTTCATTCTAGTATGGGTTTACTTCCAGATGAAACTTTATAATTCTATACATCATGTGGACTCTCAGAATGTCCTACGATTTCATTGTTCTGTTAACTGTACTGCATAAAACTGCTATTTTGAAAGAGGATATTTCAAAACCTGCCCTGAACACAGATGGAACGTTACAATTCCCAGTTCACAATCTGTAATACAATGCATTTCAACCATCCATTATTTGTTCAATCATATCAGACATTCTCCTCACCTCCAGGCTTGTGTAGTACCCCCCTGCTTCCTCATCTTGCTGCCCTGGTGTAGGGTACAGCCAGATGTAGCCATTGTTCCCCAATATTATGGACGCTCCACATGGCAGATTGTGGAAATGAGTTTTCTGTCGTTTCACAAGAGAGGGTGACACTTGCACCAGTACACCCTGTCCCAACTAAGAGAGATAAACACAAACAAAAACACACTAATATACATTTATTCATGGAACAGAAGGCTTATACTTAAACAGCCCATATACTACATTTTTGTGTTTTATGTTTTTCCCTGAGGTCCATTTATGACATTTACGTAGATGTACACACCAAAAACAGGCAGAAATTATTTTTAATGATTTTTAATTTTTTATGACCATCTACTTTAGTAAACAGGCTGTTTTTGTTACTGTGTCTTTGACGGATAGATGCAGTATGCAACATTTTAGGCACCCCAGGTCAAATAACATTTTGTTGAATTTGTAAGTGAAAATAAATGTAACACACCCTCTACAAGTAACAAACAAATATTTTTCTGCAAAGTTAAGTCTACAATTTCTATCTACTTTGAGTTTAACATATTGGGGGGGCTCTATGCATCTTTTCTGCCTGTTCAATTAAACACATAGTCCTCAAAACAGTCTTTAGATGTTGTCCTTACCTTGCCGTACTTCAAGCTGCGTGTGTGAAGCGAGAGGGCTCCATCTGAAAATACAGACTGTACCTCTGCCTTGAATGAGTCAAGGAAATTCTTTCACAATCAGAAGCAACAGGGTTATTGTGAAAAGGGCTTTTGCATGATAAAAAGTCCTTATAACATTATGAATAAATCAGTACTTGTCAGGATACACTAATGAGGTCCCCCTCTTGAAGATAGTCCCTCATGGCAAGCTCATCCTCTGCCGAACGCCTCCTCTAAGAAATCAACATTCAAGGTTTGCTGAAAATCATTGACTGGGAGTTCAGTATAGCAGCTCATAACACTTAGGCAGCCTTAAACTGTTTGAAGCTTAAACAAAAATAATTTGGACTGATTTACAGCAATGTAAGGCAATGTAATTTGCAAGCAGTCTGAAACTCAGCTGCAACAGCTGCAAGTTTGTAAAACAAGTTTAATGAAGTCAACAATCAAAATATGGGTAACGCACTGTGATCATACTGAATGACAATTTCAAACAACTGATCTGATCAAGAATATAAAATAGAAGCTGTTTTTTTTCAGACACTGGATGCATAAACTTATGCAAGTTTAGCTTTTCTTCATAATGTCAGTTATCTGAGGCATAATAACAAACGCGAGTTTCTCAAGGCTAATGTTTCTGTAGCTATCTGGCTTTACTGTTTGTGCCAGTGTTTATTCCACTTTGTTAGCCTGCTGTAACTGTTGAACAAGATTATTCATTCTCACCTCTCTTTAGACCCATCTAATTTAAAGTTCTTTAGACCCATCTAATTTAAAGTACAAAATAACAGACAAATAATTACAACATATATAAATAGAGAAAACGGAACAGCAATGACAGCTAAAGAAATTATTCAAAGATGACAACAATGCGATAAACACGCAAACATAACACGCCACAGATGATTTTACATAGCAAGAACAATGTGATGTTTCACAAATGAGTAGCTAATTGGGCTGACTATTGAAGTAGGGTGAAACTTTCATGCAACTTTAGCAACTTTCATGCAACTAGTGATTAAACGGTTATCCAGTTTCACTATAAACCACGGTAAAATTACAGATGGTTTATACCGTTTTTTCAATTTTAAGCATCATTAAAATCGTGGTTGAATACCAGCTTTGAAAAAATCAAGTTAAATGCTGTCCAGCAACAAGGTTAGCAACAGCATCCCAGACGCAGGAGCAGCACACAGCGTGGGTTTGTTTTGTCTCAGTGTAAACATGGCAGAGGCCAGTGACAGCACTAGAGATTTTTCAGCCTTCTAAGAGGACCACATCTGAAGTGTTGTCATGTTTTGTTTTGTTTTTTTTTTTAAGAGTGCAGAGGGAAACCTGATTGAAGATAGTCACCCAGTCTGCAGAACATGCAGAAAGAAAATCACTGCGAAAGGGGGCAACACTTCAAATCTTATGATTCATCTTCGTGACCTTCACCCACTGACGGAATAGACTAACTTGTCAAAATGTCCCACCGTATCAATTATTTACAGGTAGCGGCATACATGAAACTCCAGGAAAGATATTTTGATAGCTCTGATTACCTTAATTAAAAAAAAGCTTACCAGCATTAAAACAGTTATCCAAAAAACAAAAACAACATTAAACCATTAAAAAAGTTATCCAAATGTGTTGCATGCATTGTTTTTGAATTGCTTCACGTAACTGCCAAGTTGCACTAAAATTAGGTTGCAGGCAACTCACAATATGCAACTTGCTGCATGAACATTTTACTGTGTAAAGCCAGCCTAACTGAATGCTCTACTTGCAACTTTAGGTGTTTTTAAATTATGGAAATTATGCTGCATGCAACTCACAGCACGCAACTACATGCATGAAAGTTTCGCTGTGTAAGGCCAACTTTAGCTGTTCAAGACAAAAATCAGGACAGCTTGTGCATCAATATAAAAACAGTATTCCTGCTCACCAACTCTCCTCCTGGAAGATTCACTGATGACAGAAGCAATACAGAGTCTAGCCGAGAGTTGGTCTCCACTTTCCAACGTTTCTGCTGAACCTACAATACGACAGAGATGTCAAACATTCTTGTTAGCCTCATGTGGTCCATTACTAGCATATCAACTCGTTTTTCTCTGTCAGAACTCATTTCACAAACCTCTGTAATCCTGCCTACTACCACATCACCAACTTCACCATTGAACCTGAAAAAATAAAGAATATAATCTCAAACACACTTGTGTTAACTTTTATGTGGATGGATCAGTCATCATCAAAATTCGTACCTAGTCTTGAGTGGTCTCACACAGATCAGCTTGTTGACACGTTCAACCTCCCCCGCCACTGAGGCTGTGAGCTTCTCATCATCCATGTAGGTTCCATGGCCCCTGAAAGACAGTACTCATGAGAAATAATGCGCTACTAAAATTAAAGTGTATGATAAACATATGATAAGCTGTATCACTAAAAGAAACACAGACTGAAGATAAAGACTCAGCGAAACTGCCACCTGTGCAATTTCCTTCCCCAGTTATTGTCCTGCTAAACAAGGGCCCTTCTCACATCCCTCTTCTACAATCAGTTGCATATAAGCACTTTAACCAACTGCAAAAAAACCTACATGACCACCAGTGAGCAGGTACTATATTGGTGGGGGATCATTCTCAGCGCAATGATGTGCGTTATGGACCAGACACAGCAGTGTTGACGTTATTTTTCCCCCCAAACACTGTGTACACATTATTTAACACTCCTTCCATGCTTGTCCACATTGTAGGTGTAAAGTTAGAGACTAGAAAAGCTCATGAAAAAAAAGATAAATGCATTCGTGTTTGGTCTATTTAGATGTCTTTGGTACATTTCGCAAAAGAACTGTTTTAATCAAACCAAATCTGCCAACTGTGGACGCACCCTTACAGTCCACTCTATTAGACATACCTGCCGCTTTGGTCTGCTTTGTAGACAAGTTAGAGCGGACAGCTCGTCTGCTGGTGCTCAGTTTGTGTTAGTTATCCTCTAGTTCTTCATCAGTGGTCACAGGATGCTGCCTACAGAATGCTGTTCCCTGGATATTGGTGGACATTTCGCAGTCCAGCAGTTACACTAGAGTTTTAAAACTCCACCAGCACTGCTGTGTCTGATCCACTCATACCAGCGCAACACACACTAACACACCACCACGTCAGTGTCACTGTAGTGCTGAGAATGATCCACCACCCAAATAATTCCTGCTCTGTGAGGGTCCTGACCACTGATGGACAGGATAAAGTGGGTCTAACAAATTTTGCAGAGACGGACTACAAATGGCCTAGAGTCTGTAACTACAAAGTGTACCTACACGGTAAAAGCATATATGAACTGCAATACTATAGTCTGATGTATTAAATGCTAGGTATTTTCTATGTATACTATATTTCCGAAATTTATGTTGCACATAGAGAAAGTATTCGTACATCTTGCACGTGTACGAATGAATATTCCGATTCTGAGAGGTCGCTGAAAGCCGGAAGCTAGCATGTAAGTTTATTTATTAGGTGCTAATTTGTGCTAGCTGATGCTAATCGATATTTAGCCAGCAGGCAATAAGGAATTACAAACATCAGTCGGCTAGCAGGCTAACATCAGACAGGGGGTCCTGCATCAAACCGGCTCCTGAAGAAACCCCTAACTTACATTAAACGCATATTTACCTCATAAAACCTGTGTCGGAGGTAATAACATCTCCCGGAACAACCAAGTGTTTACCGTCCATGGACTGGGATCCTGACAGAGCTATCTGTCTTCGGACAGTCGGTAATCTCATGTCCACAGCCATGCTTGCGTCCCCCGTGTGATTTTTTTTTCTTCCTAAAACGGTTTAAGTCTTCTTCGCTGATACACTGAGGTCAATGTGCGCTGTTTACCGCCCCCTGCTGTGTCTGCAGTGTAAGAGGAGCAACCACAGAAAACGTAATTGATGTTTAAAACAGTAGATTTACTTTATACAGTTAGTCATTAAAGGGGCATTTCAGCCTAAAGCTAGCATTTAATGTGTTATTAGTCATATTATGTCAAATTCTGCATCCCTCAGCCTCAGTTAGACAAAATTCACGATTTTGTATGCTTTTGGTGTTTTTGTCAGTTTTCTCTCAGCTCTTATGTCATACAACCATTAGGAATCACTAATGTAGAGGCTAATAAATGCAGATGTGATATTCAGCTTTCTAGCAGTAACGTTCAGCTATATGGCTTTCTTCTCCCTGCTAAAACAGCTTAGGCCATCTGGTCTAGATTTAGGTTGGTCAGGTGCTGGTTTAGCTTGTCCTCCAGCATGATTAAGTTAGTTGACCAGCATACCAGTACCCAAAACACATGCTCCTCCGGCCCTCAGAGTTTTTTTTTTTGTAGTCCTTAAACTGGAAAATCTCACTCTCAGGATTATTGTGGCACCACTGTAGGAAGTGAGTAATGCATGTTTACAACAGATAATTTTAGATATGAATGGGTTAAACAAATACACAAAAATGCATGTTAGATTTGTGCATTTTGTTCTGAATGATCTTTAAACTGCAAACCTAATGTTAAGTGACCTCACCTACGGTCTGTGTATGTATGTATATACTTTTAAACTTGAGTGTTTATCTATTAATTTTTTCATTTAAACAAAAATCAACTGTTCAATATAGAATTAGGTGGTGGTGATACACAAAGCTAGCCACTAGAGCATGCTATTGGCTGTAATTATTCATTTTCTCAAAAGATCATGTTGATCTTGGCTAGTTGTCAAGTGTGCCCATGAATTTATGTCAGGCTAATAATCTACAGTTATTGTCTGGAACTGAAGGTTGGCAGGTTGTGTGAATGCACTGGTCACACTGATATGTATGTATGTGGGGCAATCTGAGTGAAAGGCATAATGAATTAATTTTAGTACAAGCACTATAAATACATGTACAATACATGAAAACACATATAAATACATAAACAAAGTTTCATATTCACTTATTGCAAAGGACAATATCTGATAAAAGTTAATTTGGATTGCAATTACTGTTATTTTTGTAATGAAATTGAAACAATTTATCATCTATTCTTCATGTGTAGTAATATTAAAGTCTTTCCGTCTGCCTTAACCATTATGTATATAGTATATGGTCAAAAGTATATGGACAACTTTCCTAATTGTTGAGTCCAGATGTTTCAGCCACACCCATTACTAACAAGTGTATAAAAATCGAGCACATAGCCATGCAATCTCCATAGACACTGGCAGTAGAATGGGTCGCAGCACAAGGTGGACTATTCTCAGTCCAGCAGTGACACTGAGGTGTTTAAAAACTCCAGCAGCACTGCTGTGTCTGATCCACTCGTACCAGCACAACACACACTAACACACCACCACCACATCAGTGTTACTGCAGTGCTAAGAATGATCCACAACCCAAAATAAAACCTGCTCTGCAGTGGTCCTGACCATTGAAGAACAGGGTAAAATGGGGCTAACAAAATATGCAGAGAAACAGATGGACTACAGTCTGTAATTGTAGAACTACAAAGTGTGTATATATGGTAAATGGAGCTGTTAAAATGTATGTATACCTATTTCTAGAATTTATTGCCTCAGAAACATTTTGGGTTAAAAGTGGGTGAAAAGTGATCCATGCATTTACAGTCATATGTAAAATTTGGGCACCCCTGGTCAAACTACATGTTTTGTTGATTTTCAAAGTGAAAATAAGTCAACACATGCGCTACACAGAACACACTTCTGTTTATTCGCTGAATGTAACATATTTGCCAAAAAAGTGCTAAAGTTATGGCACATTTTACCTTTTTTCTCAGTATGTTACACTTACTAAATATATAGATGTTGTGCACTAAAATAATAATAATTAAAAAAAAAGCCATTTCGGGTTTGTTCCCTGAAGAGAATGTTAACTTATTTTCACTTTCAGAAAATGAAGAAAACCAGGGCTGTTCAAACTTTTGTACACAACTGTAAGCTGTACACTGTGTGTGGCCCCAGTAGTGAGGCAAGATGTCCTATTTTAAGATTTTCTTCTTTGTGTTGTTAAGAACAAAACTGGCTGCTGTCCCAGTTTATTTCCCCTAACTGTGCATAGGTTTATGCATCATCACCTTGTACCTGATAAAGACACCAATGTGGTTTAGCTTTACAGTAAACGAACACTGTTTTTAAGGGCCCATTTCCCCCATTTCCCTTTACCTCTGATATCCCTGCTAGGAAAACCAGCATTAATCAGCCCAGAGCTTGTGACCAGCCTGCGATACTGGTAGAGTTCAGCAGTGAGACCAGACCAAAATCAGGTTGATGTATGTATACATGTGAAATTAGCTAATCATGTGATCGTGAGTAAAAATGTGCGTGACATTTCGAACATCGCATTTGAAATGTTTACGCTCCGTTTTTAATTACTCGTGTTTTGCTGCATTTTCAGCATGGATATCGATCGCTCATACTTTGGGGGGCGTGGCGGATGATGATTGGACAAGGTGCCGGAAGTGTGGCGATCTTATTTTGGCGTTGAAGTGCTGTAGATGCTTATCACGAAACAGCCCGGTTTATAAACCGCCGGTGTTTTTCAGTCCGCAGCATAGCATGGAGGCCGAAAGCCCCTCAGACATGGCTCCGTCGCAGGTGAGAGACTTCGGCAGAGCGCTCTGTGTCATAACAGGGGCCTCCAGGGGTTTCGGCTGGAGTCTGGCTCGAGAAATAGCGGCGCTCCTCAAACCAGGCTCCGTGCTGCTGCTGGTTGCCAGATCCGGCGATAAACTCCGGGAACTGCAGGCGGATTTAGCCTCGTCTGAAGCGGGCAAAGCCGGACTGCTGGTCCGCTGTGTGGTGGCGGACCTGGGGCACAAAGAGGGAGTGGAGAGCGTTATAAGAGAGGTCAGAGAGACGCCCGGCGAGGATCTCGACCATCTGCTGCTTTTCAATAACGCAGGTGACAAGATTAAATCTCAGTTTTACCTGTCAGACAGGAGCGTACAAAAAGATCAGTGACACTTCCTTCTATGTTTCCGCAAATTTGCCTGATCTGGTAGCCGCGTGGATCCGAATGCTGGTCAGCTCTGCCAGTACTTATTTAGCGAGACTGTGGGCTTCAGATCAGGCAAAACCAAGTAAAGAAGTTTGTCAGATTGTTAGTCAGATTTCAGTCAGAACTGTGGATCTCCTTTAGGGCTGGGCAATTTGACAATATTTATAGTTATCGTGAGAAATTATGTCACAAAATGCTTTTTTTGAGCATATCGTGGATATCAGTACTTGAAAACACTTCACCACTGCATGTTTGACTGCAAAGAGAGCATAATTAGTCCTGTTTAAGTGGATTTAGTGAAGCACAGTATGTGAAATATTGAATTCAATCTGTTCAATGTTTCAGAAAATGTCATGCCATATTGTGTCTTGTGTATTGTGATATTACATTTTTGCCCTGCTACCCACCTCTAGTCTCTATTCCTTGCCACGACACAACTAATCCTGAACTCATCAGTGAAGAAACACGATCATAAACTATTATTGGCACTTTGAGGTTGCCTGATTCATCATACTACTTCATTTAACAACTTTTCAGCTAATTACAAAGGCCTTCATAAGTTAAATTCAGATAAGAAGCTTAACTCTGTTGCAGGGCTGTGGCCATTCAGGACCAAATTTTGACACTCCTGCCTCAAAGAGGTTAAAGTGTTTGCTAGGCTGTTCCATGAACAATAATGTATGTTTAGATACCCTTGAACAACTTAACATGGTGACATAATGTTAGTTGCATTAGGCTAAAAATGATATCTCTCCATCCACCCACTGACCCACACTGTATGTGCAAAATCATCCACGTTTGAGCATTGTAGTCTAGTTCAAAGGGTTTTGCTTCTTGTACTGTGCACCATATCTGCCTGACCAATGTTACTAATCTATGTCTCAAAACATTTCTTTTCCAATAGCTTCACTTGGTGACGTGTCTCGTTATGCACAAAGTTTCACAGACATGGACGAAGTGGACTCCTACTTGTCATTCAACGTGAGCTCGGCCTTGTGCTTGACGTCAAGCATTCTGGGTCAGTTTCCTCAACGTTCCAGTCTGCGGCGCTGTGTAGTGAATGTGAGCTCACTGTGTGCTGTGAAGCCTTTTCCATCCTGGGTGCTGTACTGTACGGGTAAAGCTGCACGTGACATGATGTTCCGTGTCCTGGCTGAGGAAGAGCCAGAGCTCAGGGTGCTCAACTACGCACCTGGTAAGCACCCAAAACCTTTAGCAACTTGCTGAAAGTATAGGCTAGCAATCATTACCTGGAATGAAACACAGCAGGGTCCAGTCATTTGTCTAGAACATATACATTTTTTCAAGAAACTGATTAGAGCTGTCTTTAAAGGAATAGTTTGACCAAGCATGCTAATGTGGTTAACAGTGATGGGGAAGCCACCAATCAGGACCCTGGGCCTCATTCACCAATATTGTCAAAATAAGTTGCTTTTTTTTCCCAATTTGTTGTTGAGAAAGGTTCTAAGGAAAAGTCTACATCAGATTTATGGCGTGTTCTTAAACTACAGAACTGTTCACACCTTTGTGCTCTTGAGTGTGTGTAGATTCTGTTCTTACCAAAGAACAAATCCCAAATAGGAGAACACTGGTGAATGTACTGGCAGAATGGTCTTCATAAAACTGTGTAAGTGGGTTTTAAGAAGAAATTTCTTGGTGAATGAGGCCCAATGTAATTTTCAATTTAAATTTTCAACTTAATTCGAATTGGTGGACATTTGCATACATTCATTGTTGGCAACAAATGTTCTAATGTACTAAAATCTTTTAATGGTTTGTTGAAATGGACAACAAATATGAGGGTTATGGCAACTAGCAGCACCTAATTGGGATGACATTATTTGCATAATTTGCTTTCATTCTTTGACAGCTATTAGCAACATTTAGCCTTTTCTGACTGAATAAGTCCTTTTGGGATAGTCGAAGGCTGTTTTCTTTCATTCATTAGCAACAGGTAGCAATATTAGCTTTTTCTGACTGAATTATTCTTTTAAGATTGAGTCAGTGCTCATTTGTCTAGAATGTACGAAATGAGGATTTTGGAAACTTGTATGCCATTGTTATACTTATCACATGCTTTCTGCTCAACAGTAGCCAGTAGCTTCTGTCCAGCACTGTACTGCTGATCTGAATTAATCTCATTATATTTTCCCAGGCCCTCTGGACACAGATATGCAGCTCCAGGCCCGGTCCAGCTCAGCAGACCCCAACATGAGGAACTCTTTTGCTGATATGCACTCTCAGGGCCGCCTGCTCACCTGTGAGGAGTCTGTTGCCAAGCTGATAAAGGTCTTGCTGGAGGATGACTACCCCTCCGGAGCCCACCTAGACTTTTACGATTTGTAGGTGCATTACTAAAAGAAAACCTCTGTTGTACTAATTAGAGAGGCACCGATGCCGATAGTAGTACTGGTATCTCAAGCAACACAAAAAACACTCTTTATTGGTGGCAGGAGTATTAGGTTATCGGTAATAATGATAGCATTATGTTGTATTAATTTCATCTTCTAACCTACTTTCATCTATAGTCCAGATAGAGTGGGCATTTTATTTAGGCAAGAATGAAAGAAGTAGAAAAAGAAACACTTAGAGTTTGTACACAATTATCCACAGATTACAACAGGTAGATACTTGGAAAGATGGTATCGGTGCATCTCTGTCACAAATCCAATAGCTGTTACATTCCAAATTATGCTGGTGATTGACATAATGAACCTCATTTGAGTTAAATTGATGCTGACCTTACTTTTGTTACTGCTGTAGTTTTAGTGGGTTGAGCTACTTGGTGCCTTATTAATTTAATATAACTTTAGTTCTCTACTTGTTTTACTTTAATTCTTTATTTTACAAGTTGTTCAGTATTTCTCCTAAATTAATGGAAGCACTTTTTACAGTTTTGGCCTTATAAAATAATTCCAAAAATATTTCTGAAGCCACAAAAAATTTGACATTATTTTACCAAATACAACAGATGACAAATTTGAGGATACAAATCAGTATCGAAATATAAATTATTCAGCAACAGTGACAGGGCTTAAGCTAGCAGACTCAGGTCGCACTCAAGATACTCTGACTCGAGACATGACTGAGGAATAAAAGCACAAACAAAACTACCACCACCAGCCTTAATGTGGTGAATGAATAAAACCATTTGTTTTCTGCCAAATTTATATGGCTTTCTGTCTGTTTGCTACAGTTGTGCATAGTCATGTAGTGGTGCACGACTCCCAGTCTTCTGGAGTCGACTCCTGCCTCAGGAGTTGATGACCAGAGTTTGTGTATAAAATGGCTCGTGAGCAGGGTTGGTATGGAATAAATACATGGACTAGGAATATTTGAAATCATTGATCAAATCTGGCAAAAACCTAAACGGTCTGTAGCGTTTGGCAGAAATTGTTTTTTTTTGGAGGTGTTCTGGCTACTGCGCTACTACTTGCATAGATCTCCACAGTGAGGAGGGGGGCTTTCCCTTCTTGCACGTTAACCAGCAGGCTGATTGGCTGTTTTTACTGAAGGACGCAACTTTATCTATATACAGACGCAATTGAGTTGAGTGTTGTGAGCTTTCCTATCTATATTTCAACCAGTGACCTGTCTCCTCCTTTATAATATTAACTTGTTCTGTGTTAACAGAAACTTTATTCTCATGACTATGCATAATTGTTAAATGATTCCCATGACTTTTGAATTATTCTCAAAGTGCCGTGCATACACCAGACACTTTATTAGGTACACTTACTTTGTAGCTGCACCCAATAAATATGCTGCCATACACTTAACAGTCAGTTGTAACACATTTAGGGGTATATGTTATGATGCCAAACATTTGAGAACAGGCTATATCTGCTGCACTCTGTTAATTATGGCAAAAACTATGGCAAGAAGTTAATTTTTACTTTTACATTTTTTATGGCATTTTAACATTCTGTTTAAAAGGATATGGAGAAACAAGGTTTTGTCCTGACAGCAGCAACATCTTGTTTAAAACATGTAGCCATATGATCTATGAACATACCAAGATTGAATCAGGTCAGTATCAGCTGATAATCAACATTAAATTAGGGGCAAAAAACTGGATCAGTACATGCTCACTTCTTTGTTTATATCCGGCTTACATGGAATTGAAGGGAAAATTGTCCTTCCTTGAAATTTCTTTTGCCAACAATTCCTAACTTCTGAAAGCAAGCATACAAATAATCACCTTACTTTTCAGAAGTGCATTGTTTACACACTTTTGTTCTTGTGACCTTTTTGTATTTAGAATACAAAATTATATATAATCTATGTGTTTATCTTTAAATGTCTCAATACATATCTCAGAGACATATGACCAACATGCAACTGTGTCTGCACAGTTCATTCCTGCCACCTGTATACCCAACCATGTGTCCTCTTGTCTTGTTGAATAGAAGTTGTGTAAAGCAAGTTGAAGTTAATGTTTTATAATCACTATGGTCTGAAATTTTTATTGACATCTCTAGTCATTTTCTTTGCTTGTTATCTGTTTTAAGCATCATTATAATGTAATAATAGGCACCAATTACTTTTGCTTACAGAATACTCCAGAATAAATATTTATTCTTAAATCAGCATTTGAGTTCTGCTGACTTGTGATTATGAATGGCAGTTACATCTCTTTTTTTTATGGTTTAGCTATTCAGCTTGCCATAAGCAAGCATGTAAAATACATTTTAGAACTATTAATATTCATTCAGGGGCTAAATGTTTTAATAGTTTTGTCAATATTAATTATCAGTCAGTGCCAGTTTAGGTCAGTTTTTCCTGACTGATTTCTGTTAAGCATTTCATAATTAAGCCTTTAGTTATGAAAGCATTGCTTATGCTTGTAATCTATGTAAGTGTACATTTAAATTTCTGCATAATTAAATAATTGATATAAACAGGGTTAATCATAGTGGTTTGATATAAAATGCTCTGTTCTAAAGAAATGTACTGAGTCAGAATTTTTCACAATGGTGATAATAGGAATAAGACATCTGAAGCATTAAATGCCTTTAAAAGCTCCCTCACAGAGAGCTATTATCTTTAATCATTATGAATACAGTTACTGATGCCTGAGTCATTGTTTTTCAGATTCAAGGGGGAGGAGTATGTCCCAGGCGTTGTAAAGAAACATAATCCCCAAAGAAAACTTTTTCCCCCAGATTTACCCTTTTATCATTATAAGCTGTACATAAAAACTCAGAGGATACATGTTGGTTCACCGGACATATTGGGTAGTAATTAAAATGACTATATTTACGTTGTTGATGAACAACTGAACAACGTAGAGATTTCACTTTAAATACACTGTCAAGATAAAAAAAGAACGAGTTATTAGAAAGGTTCAGGTGTTAACATGGTGATGAGACATGATGACTCGCAGCAGTCCGAGTTAGAAAAATGATGTTCTTCCCTGCAGTGGCCACCAGTTGCTTTCCATCCTGCAGCCTTTGGAGATATGAGTGAAGGGAGTATTAATGTCACACTATGAGTTGTAGTACCAGATACTCTTTCATCTCATGCCTGTCACCACTGACTACAAACTCTGCAAACTGTTGCACCTTTTACATCTCTGTTGATCCTCCCCAGTCCTCCTCAGCCTCTGGAAAGCGTCTGGCCAAATGCAACACACATGCACCACCTTCCCGCACTCCTATTGTAAACATTTTGTTTCAGTGAGATTATGGAAACATTTACGCCTGTTTGGAGCGATGACACTTTTTTCCGAAAATTAATCACTGGTGGAAGCGCCAAATAAAAAACTCTCACATATAAACTCAAATATAAACTCTGCTGCAATTCATAAAGGCTTATTTCACAGAAGGTCAAAGTGCATTACTGTCAGAATGATGTCTAGAATTTTGGATTCAGTATTGTTTTCAGTGTTTCTAGGTTTGAGTGACGTGCTTATGCTTAAGGGGAAATTCCACCAAGTTTTCTAAAAATCGTCCATAATTCAGTGGGTGAGATGTAAACACAGTCATTCAGAGTGGTTTGATGCAAAATGCTTAATTGTAGAAAAACCTTACAGTGGTGGTGATAGGAATCAGGGGTTACCATGTCTACAACACAAAGTAAATAGTAAAACCACCAGTGAACTCACCTGTGTCCTCTGAGTTTTATATGTAATGTTGATGATGGAAAATCTGAAAAAAAAAATCTTACAGTGCACTGCATGTACATTCCACCATGAATAGATTTTAAAAATACATTTTTGACCAAAACCTTCTTTAAACTATAGTAAAACAGTGTCTTAGACATCAGACATGTTTGTTACCATTTCATTTAATAGTTTTCGGTGAAAAAGGTTTCAGCTGTGTCTGTCTGGTTCCTATAACCAGCAATGTGTACACTTCTGACTCAGTAAGTTCCTCTATAACAGAGCATTTTACATCAAACATGTCTGAATGACTTTGTTTACATCTTTACCTTTGAATTATGCTGATATATTGTGTGTGAAATCAGTGGAATTCCACTGTTACAAGGGTAACAATTATTCCCAAATGCCTATACATGTTATCAATACATATACATGTTTTCATGTTTTTATTTTGGCATTTTGTTGCCACAATGAAACTGTAGCTGTTGAGAAGTAAACATTACAATGAGTCTGCAATTCACATAATGGGAGTAAACCATTAAACTAGTATAGGACATTCTTCATTCGGGCGTGGAAAAAAGAAAAAAATAAATAACAGCCATATGTGTAAATGTGTTAAGAAAATAGCTAGGAAAGCTAGGAAAATTAACATTTACATCAATTTGAAATGTAGAAAAGAAGCCTAGCCTAAAATTTAACAACTAATAAACAACTAAATTAGTTGTGCAATAATTTTAAATGCTGTTAAATATATTGTTCACTGATGACAAACAGCTGCTGTGAAACTATTCAATACACTGTGTTCACAGAAATAACTGTAAGGAAAGGTGGTGAAGTTGACTGCTGCAGCCTGTGTGATGAGTGTCTATCTGTCGTCTGACCACTCCTCTCTACATCTCTCCTTTGACAGGCAGACACAGCTGCTGGTTAAAAATACACTTAGAGGCCAGGCCTAGCTTCTCCCAAAGAAGGGGAGGACACACACACTCATAGAATCAAGTGTATTCACCTTCCTCCCACACATCCGAAGTATTCATTCCGTTTCCATCTCCATAGGCCCACTTCCAGCCCCCCTTCATAGGGCACATACAGCTCAGAAAGTGAGGGGTGTGTTTATTTTTGGCTGGGTTGAAAGGGCTTGCGTGGCTAGGTAAGTTCAGGGGATAGTCAGTGTGTGCACTGCAGTTCCTCCCTCAGCAGCAGCAGCCAGCAGCCCGTTTGTCTCCGTGAAATGACCCTGCAGAAGAAGGATGCCGTGGAGGTGTTTGCGGCTGGAGAGAAAGGCCGGGGCCTGCGGACCACCAAGGAGATGCAGGCTGGCGAAGTGGTCTTCACGGAGGCCAGCTTTGCTGCCGTAGTATTTGATAGGTAAGCCCACTGTTTGGATTGTCTACTTCTGTAGTTAATGTACCAACTGAACAACACTGAGGGCTGCAACCAAAGATTTGGTTTATCTTTTGGATGAAAGGGCTGTAGAATAGGAAGCACCTTTAAAAAAGACATTAGTTAGCAATTTAATCTTGCGGTTTGTATCTGGCAGGAATTTTGAAAGAACTGAAGGAACTGAATGGTCGACTGTAATATTAAAAGGGGGTCCAACAATAACTACCTCATGAAAAGCTATCATGCTGGACTGGGAAAAATCAGCATATCATTGCAGTAAGGTACAATTTGATCTATTACAATGCGGCCAATTGATCTAACTTGACTGTTCCTGATATACAAATAGATGACAGAGAAAATGGTGCATTGAAATTCCAAAGCTATCTTGACATTTAAATTTGCACTGTACTTACATTGTAAATTTCCCTTTTTGTCTCACCATGGTCAAGAAGGCTTTGGGGGTTAGTTATAGGACACAGAGCAAGGTCTTGCTAGTTATCTTATATTTACTCTTTCACATCGGATCCAGGATCGGTAGAAACTAGACCTTCCCTGCTAGAAAAACCAGCACAGACCAGCATGTCTGGTCACCAGCAGAACCAGCAATGTGTTTTGGAAACTTTGGATGGAAGCAAAAAGGTTGGTCACCAGCAAAACCAGCATATTGTTGCTGTCCAAAGAAAAACATTTATCTCTATTTTTGTCAATTTTTGTTTTTCTTCATCGTTTGAGCATTTTTTTTTACATTGTGTGGAATTTTTTAAATGATGAATGGACCAGTAGAAATGCTCTAAAATCACTTGGAATAAAACCTCTTTACATTAACTTACATTAAAAGCCAAGAATGTTTTTACCTTCTCTTGTACAGTTTTTTTCCAAGTTTTGACATGCATGAGATACATGTTTTTCTTTGGACAGAAACGATGTGTTTTGGATGATGGTATGCTGGTCAACAGCAATGGAAGTAACTAGGCTGATCACCTGCAAAACCAGTATCTGTTGTGTTTCGGATGCTGGTAAACAAGAATGATTATGCTGGGTGACCAGCTAAACCAGCACTAGACCAGCTTAGATCAGCATGGTATGCATGCTGGTCTGTGCTTTTTTTCCAGCAGGGTAGTGGTTGAACTAGGTCTTGACTTTAACCTTAGACCAGTAAGAAGTCTCTTGGCCTTTGGAATGCTGATCACAGATACCCCATCTCTGCACCAGAGGCTTGAAATATATGACAACTATCTCACACAGCAGGGAACTTGTGGTATCATCATCCTGAAACCAGGCTCTAGAAGAGCTTTGCAAGTTGCTGTTACGTATATTCACAATTAGTGCTAACACTGTGAGCGTACTAACACTGTAACAACATCATACAATCATGATGACTTTAGTCAGTACAACACAGCATTGGAATGTAATTGATTTTGAAAAGTAAATGGCTACTGCTAATATTTAGCACTGAAAAGCTAATAGGCAACTAATAGAGCTACAGTAAACTAATAGAACTTATCTGGAAGTGTAAAGCTCGGTGGAAGCTTTCTACTTTGGGCCTATGCACTTCACAGATGGGGCCAGTGCTTTGAGGGCACATTTTTTGACCACATGATACCCTGGCTGGCAAACTTTAAGCGTTGGTAGACTAGCAACTGCAAGTGTAAAACATAGTCATCAGTTTAAATGAATGGTAGTGTGTGACATTAGGAAATTACTGGAGAGTGTCAGGGCAGATTCCAGACACTGGAAATTGCCATCTCTGTTCATGTTATCCGGCAATGATGTTTTGGCCAAAATGGTCAGCCTTCTCTTGACTCTAATTTAGACAGCAGTTCTGCCTGCTGACTTTCAGCAGTCATCTAGCTGCAATGAAAGCCTGGCAAAGTGGGAAAGGGATCTTTGACCAAGCGACTTGCCATGTTTGACATGTTTGACATGTTAGTTTCAGCTGGTATTTGAGCATTGTTTTGGTTCTAGTGTTCGGCTGTAGTGAATGGGTGGTAGTGGCAGGAGGGGTGGGTTACGTGAGGTGCATGTTTTAAACCCTGTGACTTGATGACGACATGCTTTAGGACTATTCTTAGACAATAGCAATGTTCAGTGTTCAAATATGTAT